AAATTCGAGTAGGTGGGGGGAACTCAACCCCAGGCTTGCTGGGACAGCCAGGTCTTCACGGCTGTCCGGAAGGCCCAAAGCGTGTAGAGGGTCCGAATCTCCACGGGGAGCTCGTGCAGTGGTGGGGCCGGCATGCTGCAGAGTCCCGGGAAGCGTGGCCGGAAGTGCATGCATGGCCTCAGGGGTGAACAGCTGATGAGCAGCAGTGCAACACAGCAGCAACCGACTCCTGCACCTCAATAATAATAAGACTTCCCCGAAAATAAGGCCAAGTGCTTATTTTGGGGAGGTCGAAAGAAAATAAGACCCTGTCTTATTTTCAGGGAAACACGGTAGTTGCAAGTTAAAGACTACTTTTAGGATCACAGCCTCAAGTTTTACACATAGTCGTTTCCCACAAGAAAATAAAGTCTAGTATTTCTCCAAGTATAAACAAGTTTTTTTGCTTGGCATTTTGTTATTTGGCACAGAATATAAATATGGGTAATTAGAAGCAGACACTTGAGTATAACTTTACCGATTAATCAACTAGCCATTTCAAAGCAATGGGCCTCTGCTACAAGTTTAAGTATTAGTAGTGAAAGAAGAAGAAAAAGACAAAGTAATAGTTTCCCTTTGAGTAATCTCTTCAGATTTTAAGGCGATCTCTGCCTGTAATCTGGTGAATAAATTCTCCCACACAATCCCCCATGTCAATGAATGAATGATTCTAGGGCAAAACAAACTAATGGACCATAAATTTCTAGGATTGTATGCTATCATTTTTGAGATGCTTTATAGCAAACCAAAGGAACCAAGTATTGTGTCTTTGTGCACATGTAGAAACATATGTAATACATTATTATTTATACTAATTATATGAAGTACTAAAAATGTATAAAACTGTAATTGTGCAGTATATTTGCAAATAAAGAGGAATATTTTTTTAATGGTGGTGTTGACTCTCGTTATCTTTTTTTTTCCCCTGGCTTCTTTTTTACAATGCCTTTAAAGAGAACCGATAGTGAAGAAAATAGAATACCATTACTGTTCGAAATGCTCCATTTTCAGCACTTCCCACAAGCGCTTTAGGCGTGCGAGCATGCGCAAAGGGCAATCTCACCAAACCGGTTGTTAAACCGGCAGCATCCCACCACTGTCTAGTTGCCACAGTACAAAAAGGATGTTGAGGAACTGGCAAGCTCAAAGAAAAGTGACATGGATGATAAGAAGCTTGGAGGCTAAATCCTATGAAAGTGGCTAAAGGAACCTGATGTCAGCGTTCCATATATCATCCAGAATTAAATCAGAGTCCAAGGCACAGCTTTCATCAAAGTTCCAATTTAATAAGAGAGACATGTTGGTACGATCTGTGGAAAACCCGGATCTGAAAGCTTCCTG